GCTGTACAAGATGCAGACTTGTGATCCTACTTACAAACACCATTAGAAAAAATCATTCTATTCATTAAGAGAATGCAACTATATATCTATCCCATGCCCTTTTTTTTTGTTTTTAAAGCTATTGTTGCTGGGTTGGTGAGATGGCTCAGTGGTCTAAAGCACCTACTTAGAACAAGCTTAACAAAGCACAGGGACCACGGTTCAATCCCTAGCACCACATGCCAGCCAGCCCCCCCCCCAGGTGGGCTGAGCTGGCCACACACACACACACACACACACACATAAATAAAATAAAGTTATTGTTGCTAAACAGAGCAACTCTAACTGGACGGGTCCACAAATAAGGGGAATTCAAAAAGCAAAGCCTGTTCTCACCAACAAGAAGAGGAAGAGACTATGACTGAAGGGTGGCCAGGGGCGAGGGGGGGGGGCAGGCTGGCCAAGATTCTATGATTCCTTAAAGGTGGCTCCAAAATCAACAAAGGAAAGGCAAAGGGGTCCAGGCACATCCCAGCCTGGTGATCAGCATAACTTGAGCTGGCGTCGAATTCACTGGCAGTCCCAACTTTTCCACGCCAGACTGTCAAGGGGAAACGTAACACCTTGATCAAGTTTCCTGTATGGTCCAGCCTGGCCACACATTGCAAGTCTGCTGTGATTGCCAGAGAGAGAGCCAGAGCTGGAAGGAGGCCTAGAGCCCATCTGGTTTCCCTGCCTTCAGGAAGTGTCTTTCTCCTCATTTGCAGGAAGGGGAAGGGGGGGGGGGGGCTTCTGCCCCCTACCACCTTGCGCCAAGCCTAGCAGCTCAAGGCCAAGCAGCTCGACTCAGTTGCTTTCCCCTTCTGCTGTCCTGTACCCCACCCCGCCCCGACCTGAAACCAACTTTGGATTCCTTAAATCAGCCTACAGCCGGAGGTGGAGGAAGTTCCTATTCTCCTTGGTCTCTCCTGAGAAGCTGTGGGCTGCCAGAGAAGGGGACCTGAGAAAAAGGCGTGGATATTCTTCCTGGACATGCAGAACAACCCAGGGGCAAGAAGCCAGATCACAGTACCTCCTCTAGGGTCCAAGTCCGAGGCTGATGGCAGGAAAGAAGGAAGGAAGCAGACAGAGTTATTCCCGGGAGTCAGGCGGGATCCCGCGCTCACCAGGCTGCTTTTGAGAGCTCTAAGCACTTTCCTTTCAGGCGCTGGCGCCAGCCATGCCCCCTCAGAGACCCTGGGTGTAGGGGGCAGGGTGCAGACTCCCTCTGCCGCTGTTTGCGTTGCTGGCCCCCGAGTGAGCAGTGCATGGGGGTGAGTGGGAGAGCCTGCCCCCCGGAGTCTTGGGCACCACAGCTCCGCACTCAGTGGAGGGGCCCAAAGGGCTTCGACTCGAGCCAGTTTGCTCACTGCTGCACCCAGCCCACATCTTCCCACCCGGCCGGAACACCGGGCCGGGAGCGGACTTGAGCTTTCCCGGAGACTCCGGGAACCGGTCTCAGACCGGGCAACAGGTCCCTGGAAGCGGGGCCTCCGAAGGGCTGGGGCCAGGGACAGCGGTTGTGGGGTACCCAGTAGAGGGCCGGGAAGGGCTCAGCGAGCCCTGAGAAGGGAAGCTGGGGTGCACTGGGTACCCTTAGCCTCCCCTGCCCGGGCCACAGCCTCTTCCCCTGGAGTACTCACCGCTCTGCAGGCGCCCCTCTGCGCCGCGTCGCCCCTCCAGCAGCGCCAGCAGTAGCACGGCCTGCAGCGCCGTTCCCGGGCACATGGCCCGACTCGGGCGTGCCCCGGGACCCCCGGGCACTGGGGCGATGGAGCGGGCGGACTGGTGGCGGCTTGTGGGACGACTGCGGCAGCGGCATCTCCCGAGAACCGTCGGCCCGCACTGGGAGAAGGAGGGGAAGGCGCCGTCAGTAGGTCGCCCCTCCGCCCCTTGGGACGTCACTGCAGGGAGGGCAGCGCCTGGGCAGGCCCGCCCCGATGGTCTCCTCCAGGGCTGCAGTGCCGGGCACTGTAGCCAGAGCGCCGCCCCCTCTTCTCTGAGTTGTCGGGGAGATCCTGAGTTTGCATAGGACGCAAGGTGGAGGAGGAAAATCCCAGGATACAGTGAGAGGAGCTTAGTGTGGTGAAAACCAGTGCTTTGACCCTGTTCTCCAAAGTCTGAGTGTGGGCCACAGGAAGAGGGAAGTCATATACCCAGCTAGGGCTCAGCAGGCCACTGTCCCAGCGCTCAGGGCTACCCCTGGAAAGGAAATGTCCTCACAGAGAACACAGTTCATGGGGCTGTGTGTCTGTTGACTATGAAAGAGGACATGGCGTGGAAAATGTCCAGGAAAGAGGAGTTGCAAGTGAAAAAAGAGTGACTTCTAATGATAGAAGTCTTGTCAGATCTCGGCAAGACAATGATTCTGCCTTTTAAAGGGCACATGGTGGGAGGTGGGGGTGGTAGTAGCTGCAGAATTCAGTCTCAGACTGGTGACCTAGGAAGGTGACCCCTCTGGGAAGAATGACTGAACTCCCTCTGGAAAAACATTTCTAACCAACCTAGCTCTCTTCTAAAATCCCTCATAGTTGTGTTTTACATTGAGTTCTTTTAATAAACAAAATATTTTCAAATATATTCAATAACAAAGCAAGCCTGTTGTTCAAAGCCTATGGCACTAAGTAGCAGAGGAGGAATCTGGGTTCCTTACACTTTGGTTCACAAAGTGTTGTGGTGAAGCATAGTGGAAGTATCTGGGCCAAGGCCTTCTGCATTTTGGTCTTAGTTTGCTTTTGCTTACATACTCATCCTGCTTTTCACAAGAGCAGTCAAAACAGCTCTAAGACTTTGGGTCACTGAAGCTCAGTGCCCTCCCTGCAGACAGGCCTGGTCTGAAGCTGAAAAGGGAAAACTGCAATTGCAGAAAACAGAAGCATTAGCAGGATGAGGACTGAACTTTGTGCTAAATTCATTTACAGCTCTTCTTTGTATCCTGAGGAGAATTTCTCACACGCAACACACATTCATTCTCCCTAGAAAGTCTTAGCTATGGAAGGAATCAAGAGACAACAGATGTGCTGGAAAGAAGCACTTAGGTGGCACCTGATGTTCTGTTTCAAATTCTGCTTTTCCACACTTAATATCTGTGTGAACTCTGGCAATTTTTTTACTTCTTTAAGTCTCATACAATAATTTTAATTTTCCTCCACCTTGTGGCCTAGGCAAGTTTTCCTTAAGAGTTTTGTGAGAGTTGGGCAAGAAAAATATGTATATAAATATGCAGGTAGCTGGGTATCTAATGTCAGGTGAAAGGATTAATTTCCAGTATTACTGCATTTGGTACAATTTAAGCTATTTCTTTGGTCCAAATAACAGAGTTTAAATTGATACTCTGACTTTAGTCCAAATTGACTCTTTTAGGATATACCATCAACTAATTTGGATGGACTTCAGTAATGGTCTAAATTCTTCACATTTTCCCACATACACACTCTTTACTAAGACATTGTCATTCTACTGACTAAAGAGGCTGAATATATTTCCTTATCCTTTGTGCTTGACAATATGCTTGACTTGCTTGGCCAACAAAATGAGCCAGACAGAAAAGGTCTCACGTGTTTTCATATTTATCTCCGATCTCCGAGAGAAGCATACCTGAGATATTTCACTAGTTTGGGAATGTTCTTGTGAGGATGACTTGTGGAACACAGGTGTTTAAACTGACAGATTATAAGAATGACAGCGCTATACCAGGTATTGTAAGCTGAAGCAGAATTCATCTGACATACAGATGTAAGAATCATAAGTGATGTTTAGATCCCTTCGTCATACAGCATTGCTGTGGCAATAGCTAATGATTACATCTGCAAATGGTGCTAGTAGGGGAGGTCTTGTCATCAAAAAAGCTCACCAAGAGAAATTTTTTGAGCTGGGGGTAAAAACTGCCTTGGAATAAGATCTGATTTGACAAGTCTCATTTGACCCACAATAATATTATTTGCCTTGGTTTGACAAACTCAACCTTATCTAACAGACTACAGGTTGGGTGTCCCTTAAAAAGACTTGAGACCAGAAGCAGTTTGGATTTTTCTCTTAGATTTTGGAATACTTGCATATACATAAGGAGATATCTTAGGGATAGGACCTAAGTCTAAAGACAACATTTATTTATGTTCCATGTATACCTTATGCACCAAGTTTGATTATTGCATTTTATAGCATATACTATTGCATACAATATACAATATTTGACTACATTCCTCACATGAGATCATACATGAGAATTTCCACTTGTGATCATCATGTTTGTGCTCAAAATGTTTTGGATTTTAGAACATGCTTAATTTCACATTTTTGGATTAAGGATGCCTAATGTGTAATGTATATACACACTGAGGAAATACAGTCATCAGATTAGCTAATACTTTTGTTGACATGTTGTACAATACTCTTCTTTAGACAAGAAAAAACTTCTCAACAAGCATTAAATTAGAACAAAAGGGATTGTTTATGAAGAATTAGAAAAAATTTAGGCTTTGCTAACCTATTATGTTCATCTTTACAGGAAAGATCTGTCTGACAAATATATCAACTTAACAGGATACCTTTTATTCTTCATAGTATTAGGATGACCTGCTAATTTATAAGTTTTAAAATGTTACCTTTCTAGGTCTGATTGTCTTCCTTTTGTTCCAAATATTTTTCTGCAAATATCCACTCCTTATTTCCTCTGGTGATAGAGTCCTTGCATTTTGACTAGGCCGATCCAGCTTCACCTCCATCTAGAGATCTTTCCAGCTTCCTTTGCAGCTGGCATGGCCCTGTGGTCAGGTTCTGACCTCCTCTGACAGGTCATGCACTCCTCTGTTGGCAGTGTGGGTGGTAGCTACTTCTTATGGAGGTTATGCCCAGGGGTTTCGGTGAAAGACAACAGTACAGTGAATTGAGGTTCCCAAAGAGAACTTCAAACACTTAAAGAGGAGCATACAACTGTTAGTAGGTGTGTCACTGGACAATGCAGAAGGGACATATACTTAGCCTTATTTTTTCCAACATATACCAAAGGAAATAACCCTTGAAAGTGAAGTATTTTGGCAATGGAATTGTGTATCTGCATGTATAACGTAGGAATATTAAGCTACTAATTTCTGATTGCAGGCATGTTCTAGAAATGAGATAAACCAGATTTTAGGAAAAGACTTTTTTTAAAGCAAAAAGACTACGTTTTTTTTTCTTTTCAAAGTTTTATTGATAAACATATAGCAATGAGACAGTTTCAAATCAAATCAAAAGTACAGTTTCAACAAATAATACACTGCATATATTCTTCTTAGTGGTTAATTGCTGTACAAGATGCAGACTTGTGATCCTAATTACAAACACCATTAGAAAAAATCATTCTATTCATTAAGAGAATGCAACTATATATCTATCCCAACCACTTTGAATACACAGATACAAAATGGACATTCAGTTATACCCCATTTTTTTTAAGTACCGTTATTGAATATTATAGGTGTGTAAACTCAGCAAAATATTCTAAAAGAGTCCAGTAGCCCATAATAGCATTGGGTCTTCTGTTTAACTGGCAATGTCAGAAATTATTGACCTGAATCCCCACAGCTCAACATAGCACCATGGCTTACCTTGTGTCTGATTGTTATTCTCGGTACCTTTTCTAGTATTCTAGATACTTTTAAGTCAGTTATCCTACCTTTTCCCATTCTTGACCCTGTATTTTCCATAGGAAAATTTCTCTTCAAGCTGTTAAACTTGGGTACCATGCTCTTAAACTGCTACTATCTCTTCCTGGGATGTCTTCCTTCACAGGATATATAATGTTCTGTTCATCTACAGTGACTTTTTCCTGTGACCTATAGAATACAGCATGCTACCTTTCTTATCTGCTGCTCCTCTATCCTTTTGCACATCTGACTGCATCTGTTTAGTACCTATGCTCTCTGGCTCTTCATCAGTCCTATCTGGCCTACACTTTTTTTTTTTTTTTGTATTTTAGGGAAGGGTCTACAGGATGTTCAGGGTCTCACTGCTAGATTGGACTCATAGTGATCCTCCTGTTTACAGCCTCCAAAGAGCTGGAATAACAGGTGTGTACCACCATGCCCAGTCTCAATCGCTGTCACAGTGCACCCCAGGGGCGGGGCTGGCACAGCAGGCTCAGGGATCAAACCCCCAGCCCCTGTGCCTGCTTGCAGGTGCTTTAATCCACTGATCTATTTGGCCAGCCCTCTAGCCTACACTTTTATGAGTATCTCATATTACATCTAGCTCCAGGAATTGTACTATCATGTAGAATCTTGCTCAAAAAAAGTTACGTTATTCACTTATTGTTCATTCTTAAGTATTTTTTGGGGGGTTAGAACACGTGCTGTTTGCTAGGTCCTGTGCTTATAAGTAAAAAAAAAATTCATGATCTTTCTTGAGGAACTTAGTACCAACAGGAGAAATACAATGAATATACCACTATGTTGTATCTCAGGGCTGGAGAATGAGAACTATGCACAGAATCATAGGGAGACAAAGACAGGGATTTCTATCAGGTTGAGTAATGTGTGAATTTGAGAAAAGGCTTAAGTGGAACTGCTGGACTGTTTGGAAGTATGAGTAGGTATCGTTTAAATAGAAAGAAGAGGAAGAAGGGCATTTTCAGATGGAAGAAACTGTGGGTTCAATGTCACAGTTGTGAGAACCCTAGTAGCTTCTTGGGATATGTGGTTCAAAAGGGCCCAGTCTTAATTTTACTTACTGGGGGATGGTAGTGAATGAGGCTGGGCAAGTATATTAGGAGGCAGATATTAAAAGTTTTCACAGGGCTGTTTATGTGGCTCAGTGGTAGAGCCCAGTATGCACAAGGCCCTGAGTTCAGTCTCCAGTACCACACAAAAATATCCTTATATATTGAACTATAATTTGAGTATAGTTGATTCTTGTAAGTTGTGGAAGTTATGTTCTAGAAAGCCAAC